CTTTATGCTGTTGCTTCACATTACACTAGTGCTTCAGTGCTCTTGCTGGACATTAATTGGGGTATTATTATTCATTATCTTCATTATCTTGCGTGCCAACAGCACACAGAAGATTTGAGCAGCATTGGGAGATGGAGAAAGGATGTTGCTATTTGGACGTAGCATTGGCTATAAAGTAGAGCTTGAAAAAGTTACTATTTCTCTGCTCTCCACAATGTGAGGGAACTCATGAATGCCCACTCACAGGTTATTATTATTATTTTTAGGGTTCTTGCCCATATCCTTTAAAACAACCTTCCCCGACTTGGCTATGCTGCTTGGGGAGTCTGAAAGTTTTAGACCCACGTATTGGGGAAGGCTGCTTGCAGGAGATGTCAAGCTCAATTAATGATGATTTGCTCAGTCCGGGTCTTCATTCATCTTGATGGCAAGATTCTTGGAAGAACATGTTTGAGGCCTCTTCCTGGTCTCCCACTTGAGCTATGTGAACAAGTCTGAAAAAAGAAGTATCTGATTAATTGTTGTTAATCTTACTTGCAAAGTAAAAAAAAAAAAGAAAGAAGAAAAAGACAGATGAAAGGACAGAGATGAAGGGGGGGAAGGAGAGATGTTGCATCTAAAATGACAAAAATTTCAACTTTTTCAAAGAAAGACTGCTTGCCCAGTGTCTCTGGCTGACATAGCTATCGCAAGCCTTTCTTCCAGATACTTTAAATAATGATCAGATCATGAATTTTTGCTAGGAGTCCAAGTAAGAAAGAAGAAAAAGACAGATGAAAGGACAGAGATGAAGGGGGGGAAGGAGAGATGTTGCATCTAAAATGACAAAAATTTCAACTTTTTCAAAGAAAGACTGCTTGCCCAGTGTCTCTGGCTGACATAGCTATCGCAAGCCTTTCTTCCAGATACTTTAAATAATGATCAGATCATGAATTTTTGCTAGGAGTCCAAGTCCCTGAAGAAAGCAAAATGTTCCTTCTTGTACAGCCTGTTACATGCTCAGCAAAATATTTGAAAAAAAAAAGATTAAGGGGATTAAAACATATCTGCAATCTGGAGAATGAGCACAGATTTGATCTCACATCTCCAGTGTCCTCCTCTGAATGTAGCAACTATACCACTGGCTCCCAGTTTTTCATATCTTAGGTTCTGCTAAGTCGTACTGCCAAAGAACTTGTCACGATAGGGAAAAAAATGCCCCCTTTTTCTAAGGAAGACAATTATGTGTTTAGAGGCATTCTGTTATTATATTTACTGGTTATGGTAGGTTTAAAGGCCATCAGAGTCACAGTCATGTGGTTGAGAGTGAGCATAAACACAAAATAATGCACTGTAGGTCAATGGAGACTTGACCTACAGACTTTTTGACTTGAGAACCGCCTTCCAATATGGATTAAGTTCTCAAGTCAAGACCCCACTGTATGTGTTTAGAGGCATTCTGTTATTATATTTACTGGTTATGGTAGGTTTAAAGGCCATCAGAGTCACAGTCATGTGGTTGAGAGTGAGCATTAACACAAAATAAGTCAATTTCAGTGATAATTTGTGATGGCATTGTTGGGTGTAAATAACTGCAAAACATACAAAGATAAGGTTTTTTTCCCCAAGCGCAGTAGTGTTATCAACCGTAAATGTTACTGCTATGGCTAACCCTCCAAGCTAAAAGTAATAATTCTGTAATGGCATGTTAGGAAGATCTTGTGTCCCACCTAGGCCAACTTCTGCATCCCACTGGTGATATAACCACCAGTAGTTGAATACTACCAAAATATACCATTTTGGTGCTGGCCGACGATCCTGAATTCTATAGGCTAACATATTGGGGGAAAAAACTACATTATATCTTGTGGTCTTGGTTGAAAAAAACTCATGATGTTTCACACTTTGTATGTGTTTATAAAGAGACTTTTCTGTGAGGTTGCAGCCCGGAAATTCTTGGGGAGTGGGGCCTCAGTGCAAAGACTGAGAATGCCCCACATTTGGCACAAATCCACAGGAAATAAAAGAGATTACATCAGTACTGTCAATGTCTCTACACTGTTCTAAGGAAGTTTACAGCCCTGTTTAGATTTATAATATATTGTAAGAGTACTTTACACTGGTCTGTAAAGTCCTTATGCAGCAACTGACTTAATATCTTCTTCTGTTTGCATTTTGTTGTTCTCTTTGCATGCTGTTGTTCTCTGGCAAATGTTGGGGATGATATTTCAGAGAGACGTCTGATGATTAATAGGACTGTTCAAACTCTGCTGCTTTGGAGGACTGCACATCCTGTAAACAAAGACAAACACATGTGCCTTCTTCCCCAAAGCTAAGAATCAGAGCAGCATTATATATTGTATGTTACCACCTCACTATTTATGTGCTCCTCCTCTCTTTTGAACATTCTGGCTCTGTAAACTTGCCTTCTATGGTATGAAGTTCACTAGGATTCTTGCACTAGCTTTCCCATCCCTATCTCAAATAGCTGTTTCTTGCATGGGGCCTGTTTAATCCCCATTGCAACTGATGACTTTTGGAAGATGGGTAGTTTATTTAAATTTTTTTTTTTCTGCTAACAGGTTTGTTTGCTGAACAGTTGACTTATCTGTTAACATTCCATAAGATCCCATCGCTTTGATTAGAGGCTTTATGCCATTTCCACCGGAGGCTTTATGCCAGAAGCACAGTGGGATGTAGGCAGCCCCTTGTAATATGCAAAGTGTAACACAGTGGAATGTATCAAGTTGAGTAGGGCTTAAGGTCCACTCCTTTCCTCATCCACCCTGATAGAAGTCTAGTTTTATCTCAGTGGATCATAATAATTTCAAAGACACTGCTTAAGATGTAATGCAGAAGGCTGAGAGAGTGGCTAAACTACTGTGAATGCATTTTTAAAATCGTGCAGACCCCAGCAAACCACACTGTTTCCCACATTATGTATATCTGCATATTTACCGCTGTATGTTTACAAAGGAAACTGAAATACAGAGAGGTAGAGAAATGTTGTAATTCTGCATCCTGTTGCAACAGGAATTGGTGACAGGCAGAATGAGGTAATACTTATTAAAATTAAAGTGCTTGTGTTTCCCCAGTGGAACTCAGCATCCGATTCTAGCATGGTTTCATTAGAAATTATTTTAATCAGCAAGGATAAGTGGTAGATGCTTTTGCAGCATTGTAGACCAGTTAGGCTGTGCCTGAGAACTTGTTCTTAAGGAACCTCTTTCTGTTGGTCTTCATATGACAATATGAAATATGAATGTCTTGGAAGCTGTTTATTTGTACCCCAGAATGATTGATAATTGGCCAGCTGCATCCCTATCTTGATGTTGGGGCGCTCATCACTTTGGTCCATGTGCTCGTAATCTTGAGATTACATTACTGCAATGCACTCTAAGTGGGGCTACCTTTGAGATTGATGCGGAAGCTTCAAATGGTGCAGAATGCGGTGGCCAGACTTCTCAGTGGGACGAGAAAATATCAGCATATTTCCCCCACTCTAGCTGCCTTGAAAGTGTTAATGATAACATATAAATCCCTAAACAGTTTAGGACCTCAATATCTAACGGAGTGCCTCCTCCCACCTAGATCTACCCAATATGACATTTTACATTATTAACCCCCCTCCCAAACAAGCAGGTCTCTATTCCAGTGGTTCCCAACACTTGAGTATCCAGATGTTCCGGGGACTCAAGGTTGGAAACCACTGCCCTATTCATTTTTGCACCCTGTGGAACAGACTTTATATAGTGTCCTTTAGATCAGGTAATCCAGGTGTTCTTGGACTGCAGTCTCCAGAAACTCCAGCCAGCAGAGCTGGTGGTCAAGGTTTCTGGGAACTGCAATCTAAGTACCCCTGGGTTAACCAAGGTTGGGAAACACTGCTTTGGATGTATTGGGAGACAACCACTTTTATCTTTAATCTGTGTCATACTTGGAGGGCACCAAGTCAGAGAAGACTCATTTGAAGTTCAGTGAGGTGTGTGAACAGAAGAATGGGTGAGGATGAAGCAATAAGTGTTGTGTGATTGAACTATGCAGCTAGCAGTGGGGAATCTTTGGCACTCCACATGTTTTGAGCAGCAGCTTCCACACACCTTTACCATTGACCATGCTGGCCTGATGAGATGTGAAGGCCAAAAACATCTGGAATGCCAAAGGTGTTCCATGGTTTGGGTATTTAGGCACAGAGTTCTTGTCAACAGCTAGTATTGTTTTTCTACATATTTTTCAATCCATACTGATTGTGTGATTCAGGGAGTAATAACTTCCTTACCCCCCAGACAAGTTTTCACATCTGTGATGGCCTGAGTTGAGAGTGGATGGATTGGTATGGTATGGTATACTGCCCATCTGGTTACTAAGGCGACTCTCAGCGGTTCACCACAAAAATGAGAACAATAATCAACAATGTTTAATTAACATAAAATGCACATGAAATAATTATAAAAAAACAAAAATTGTTGTAAACTTTATAACTTAAAGACATTATAAACGTAAAAATATAACATGAAGCAATTATATTTAATTTGAAGCTGATAGAGAAAGACTATGAAAAGTAGACAGTTCTGTGCTGTGCTCTGTGCTGTTGGTGTTAAGTTCTAGAGAGAGGGCTCTAGAGAAGCCTTTTGAGTTGATTCCTTTGCTCTGAATCATGGGAGATAAATATTGAGAGATGGCCATCCAAAGAAAAAGTTCTAGAGAGAGGGCTCTAGAGAAGCCCTCTCTAGAGCTGATTCCTTTGCTCTGAATCATGGGAGACAAATATTGAGAGATGGCCATCCAAAGAAAACCCATGTCTGAAATCTGTATAACTTCTCTATTTACTCATCTGTTCTGAGTGACGGGAAAAGCCGTTCTCTAGACAATTATTAAATCCATGACAGGTTCCTTCCAGGCCAGGTATTTATGGCTGCTTTCCAGTATAATTTGTCAAAATCACTGCATTTTTCACCTTGGCAAACTTTGTAACTTTTTTTTTTAAATTTTGGAAAATTCTTCCTGTTTCCCCAAAACAGATATTGAAGCAGTCGTGCACGGAGATTTTAAACCTGGAGCCCTCCAGCGTTTGTGTGGGAGGTGAGTTTGCTGGAACTGGAAAACAATGAGCAAATATTGACGATTCTTGGGCAAAATGTGGAACTCAACAGTTCCATATGCTGAGTAGGAAGATGTGAGTCAAAGGTTCTTCCCGCCCTTCTCCATTTTGCCAACGTCTGCATTACAAATTTAAACAGCCATGCTTTTCCTTAAAGACAACCCGGAGTTGTTTATTTGTAGCAAGGGTTGGTTCGTAATACTGTTTATCGCACTGAGACCGTGCTTCTGAAAATTTCAGAGGAGTCATGCTGAATCATATTAAAGTTCAGCATTGTGTTCCTGATTAAGGACTCACAGTTCACATTGTGGCCACCTGGCTGTCTCTTGAAACAAAGGGTGCCCAGTGGGAAGTGTCCAGTGAGTTCCCCACAGGATGTCTGCCTGCAGAACATGAATGAAGTGAAGGCAGCTGCACCTTCTCTCACATGGTTACTAGTAACTGGTACTGAGAAGCATACAACTTCTGGTAAGGGATGTGCCATACGCCCACTTTAGTTTGCAAACATTGATGACCCCATCCTCATAAATACAGTCATGCCCCACTGGACGATTACACCGCTCTTGCCTGCAGAACATGAATGAAGTGAAGGCAGCTGCATCTTCTCTCTCATGGTTACTAGTAACTGGTACTGAGAGGCATACAGCTTCTGGTAGGGGATGTGCCATACGCCCACTTTAGCTTGCAAACATTGATGACCCCAACCTCATAAATACAGTCGTGCCCCGCTGGACGATTACACCGCTCTATGACGAATCTGCTTAACGTTGAAGTTTTTTCGATCGCTTTTGCGATCACAAAACGATGGTTTAAATGTTTTTTTTTGTTTGTTTCACGATGATTGGTTCCCTGCTTCGGGAACCGATTTTCGCTTTACGACGATCAGCAAACAGCTGATTGTCGAGTTTCAGAATGGCCACCAGCTGCAGAAAATGGCCCCCCACTGTTTTTAGGACGAATTTTTCGCTTAACAGGCACCAGAAAATGGCTGCCATGTGGAGGATCCTCGCTGGAAGAGCAGATATTCAGCCCATTGGAACGCATTGAACGGTTTTCAATGCGTTTCAGTGGGGTTTTTAATTTCATTTGACGACGTTTTCGCTCTACAGCGATTTCGCTGGAATGAATTAACGTCGTCAAGCAAGGCACCACTGTATGCTTGTTCACGTTCAGAGCCTTTCACCTTGGCAGCCTCCACAACATCTTGTGGCAATGGGTTCCACCGCTGAGCTGAACATTGTGTGAAAGGGTTCCTCTTTTTATAGGCCGTGTGGCTGAATGATCTTGCCTTATAGGATTTTGAGAGCGGAAGAAAAGCACTGCCCCATCCTTTTTGTCCACAGCATGCATGGTTTTAACCTGCTTCTGAGGGAGGAGCTTACAAAACACTCCTTTGAAACAAGTTTGATAGACAAGACCTGAAAGTTGGCAAGAAAGGCTTCTCTTTCTAGCACCGGCACACACCAGCCAAACTCTTGAGTCTTTTCCTCAACTGGTTTACCAGCAGATGTTGGAACTTCGTGATACTTAATGGCTGTCACTGCTACTATATTTCTGACATTCGCCATAAAATATAAAAGCCTTGACCTCCTATTAGATGGGGAAACGGTAATAAAACCCTCAGTTTGCTGCCCTCACTAATTTAGTTCTTTTGGGAAAAAAAAACCCCACACTATGTATTTTGTTTATTCATTTAGTTCTAGAGTTTACAAACGTATTTGTTGTTTCTCCATCTGCTTTCAGAGGAATTTCAGGTCGTTCTCAGAGGAAGTGGCTTCAATTTGGGAAGGACAAAGGAGAGTGTCGTTTGTTCCTATGTTGTAAATGGAACAACAATAAGTAAGTATCCATAAAACACCATAAAATCGTCTTGTGAAATGCAAAACTTTTTCCTCTATCTCATTCTATGAATTTTAATTCATCTGGTACCTTTATGATTAATGCTCCTCCTCCTGTTTCTCATTATTATGTAATATACCCCATCAATGCATGCTAACAATCTGCAGAATAAAACAAGCAACTAGTCAGGTTCGTGACTCAAGACATATATAATCCAGATGTCAACACAGAAACCTAATAATATTTATCCAGCACTTCCAGCATGCAGGGTGTTTAATACGGCTTACTGAAGATGTGAAGATTTTTACACTGATAGTGAAATCCCACGCTTGCCTACTAGGATATAAACTGTTTTAAGTACAGTGGTGCCTCGCTTAACGATGTTAATTGGTTCCATTAAAAAAATCGTTGTGTGAAAACATCGTTAAGTGAAACACCATTTCCCATAGGAATGCATTGAAAACCGGTAAATCCATTCCAATTGGAACAGATTAATGCTTGCAATCGTTAGCCCACCTCCTGAACCCTATGCAACTTAATTTGGTGTTGTTCTGAGTCGTTGTTAATTTTTGGTGATTTTTTAAATTCTCCATTGAAAGCCTTTGAATGGTCTGTTTAACAACGACTCAGAACAACACCAAATTAAGTTGCATAGGGTTCAGGAGGTGGGCTAATGATTGCAAGCATTAATCTGTTCCAATTGGAATGGATTTACCGGTTTTCAATGCATTCCTATGGGAAATGGTGTTTCACTTAACGATGTTTTCACACAACGATTTTTTTAATGGAACCAATTAACATCGTTAAGCGAGGCACCACTGTACAGTAGGCTATACAAGTGATTGTTTGTAGGATTGAGCATGAGACAATCTGTTAATCTGTTGAATGCTGAGATGGAGCGTCTGCCTTCAGTTAGAAGTCTCCAGTAGCGGGGCATCCCATGATCAAAGGTCCTATTGTGAGTCACTCCTGACTGGCAGAAAAAAACTCAGGTTTTTAATAATAGGGTAATACTTTTTCCAGATTGTCTTCTAATCTGGGGAAGTAATTCCAAGCGTTACGATCGTGCAGTGATTTTGCTTATTTGTTTCAGATGAAAAGCCCAGGAGGGTGGAAGCTGATTTTATGCTGTGTCCAGCACCTATTCTCCATGAAGTTGGCCAGTAAGTAATTCTGCGAAGCCCCTCCCCACCCGAGTATGGAATAAATCAATGGTTCCCATCCTTGGTTCTCCAGATGTTCTTCTATTGAAACTTTCAGAAGCCTTTACCACTATTTGTACTGGCCAGGATGTCCGAGAGCTGTAGTCCAAGAACATCTGGGGACCCAAGGTTGGGAACCACTGCAGTAAAGTATTAAATAAAAAAGTGCATGCTGTAGTGAGCCGAATGCAACCATTTGTATTGCTGTGTGAGTGACTGGTCTGGCCTTGTAACCATCGTCTGGTCTTTCCTGATTAAGGGAGAATGTGGAATTATTCTGTCCGAAGCACAAAGTTGAAAAGCGACAAAGTTTATTTATTTTCAGAAGGAATTTTTCAGTTTTTCTAGTGGTAGAATTTTAAAACTGGGGAAAAATTGGAAGAACAATACCATCCTATCAAGGAAAACTTGTGGCCAGGGTTGAAGGGGGATCTTCCTGTGAAACTTTTGGGGTTAAGAATACCCAATCCTGATCCACAAGCGATTTCTGCCTTTTATGACGCATATCGAAGTGAGTGAAATAGGGTTGGAGACAAACCTATAGTCTCAAATTTTCATGCAAGTGTGCAACAACAACAAAAACAATGTGCCATCAAGTCGATTCCAACTTTCCAGAGTTTCTAGGTAAGAGAATATTCGAAAGTGGTGGTTTCCCATATCCTTCTCCTGGGGGCACCCTGGGCCACATAGGTTGGCTCTACTCACAGGAGGGACACTGGGGAATTGAACCCCAACTAATGAACTATCCAGCTATCGGTGCTGCATTATTAGAGAAACAAAATTGTTTCTAGCAAGAGTTCAAAACTGGCAACACTGTTGTAAAGTGTCAAGTGATTTGCAACTGTGTTACTAATCCTTGCTAACTGTAGTTCTATGAGTATTTTGCAACTGTGTTGCTAATTTTTTGTAACTGTAGTTCTATGAGTCTTTCACTGTAAACCATCCTTTTATTTTCCACAAAATATGTGATTTCTGTGTTGAGCTATACACTTTTTTTCTTCTGAATTTCAACTGGCAGTAATCATTTCGTTTCGTTTAGTCGTTTAGTCGTGTCCGACTCTTTGTGACCAGAGCACGCCAGGCCCTCCTATCTTCTACTGCCTCCCGGAGTTGTGTCAAATTCATGTTGGCTGCTTCACAGACACTGTCCAGCCATCTCATCCTCGGTCGTCCCCTTCTCCTCTTGCCATCACACTTTCCCAACATTGTTGCCCAACACAGAGTAAGCTAAATACTCCCTCCAGAGATGGTTAAAAAAACACAAAAACACAACATCCTTCTATATCAAATGCTGAAGGAACTTTTTGCTCTCTGTTCAGTGGTTCTTCTCCATGGAATGGAAGGGGTCTGTATCTCTTTTGAGCATGAAGACATCTTGTCTGGCTTTTCCATGGGCACACTCTGAACCAGTGCAGTGATTTTAGATTTTGCTGTCTTTCATTCTGATGACCCTCGGCTCTCACAATACCAGGCCATTCATGAATGGTGTTTTATTGTTTAGAAGAAGGCGTCTTTTAATTTCGTGGCTGCTGTCTCCATCTGCAGTGATCATGGAGCCCAGGAAAATAAAATCTGTAACTGCCTCCATATCTTCCCCTTCTATTTCCCAGGAGGTGAAAGGAGCCTGGCAGTAATGCAAGGCTGTAAGCTCCAATCAGCAGAGTGGATCTTATTTCTGAGAAAGTAACTCACAGGATTTTTGAAGAGGTAAACCTCTTAAGGAGGAATTTAGTCTTAAAACATGGCTTAGAAAACTATTTAAGTAAATTTCACTTGTTTTACAAATTTGACTAGGGATAATTACATGAAGGGCAGCAGACTTTTTCTTGACAAAGCAACCAAAGCAACGGAGGGCCTGTATTTACCCTCTAAATTTGCTGAAAATGTGGATGCTTTTGTTCCAAATCAGACCTGTATTCCCCACATGATTTGCTTACAAGTAGAATTTGGCATGTTTGGTGGTGACAGGTTTTCATTTTCATTTCCAGTAGGCACAAAAAGGGGTCAGTCCCTGGATATTGTTCATGCCAGTAAGAAAGATTAATTTTTTGTTGTTGCATGAGCAATAAAATAAGTTTTAGATTTGATCTTTCTTTCTTCATTCCTATCAGAGCATCGCACAATTTAAAATTATGAACATGTATGAAATATAGGTAAAATTAAAAACAACTTAAAATGTTAAGATCCTTAGACTGTTCTTTTTATCTAAAAGCGGGCTATTGCAATAGCCTTATCTTGGCCATTTGCTAGATTTTTTTTTAATTAGCAGGTAAATATTGCATATATTCCAATCTTCAGGGTTTTTTTGTGGGGGGAGTCAAGGTTAAGACATTTTGAGAAAGAGTTCTTGGAGGCTCCTTCTCCTCCAGTTAGTAAAAAGCTTAGATCAGTGACTCATGTAGGAAGACAGAAAGGTTGCTGTCTAGTAGTAAGCTGCAACTAGAGTAGGCCCATTGAATCAATGGAACTTACGAAGGAGGTGATGGACTGTTTCAATTGGCCTATTTTATTTGTTGCTTCCTACTGGGATCCAGCCAGCAAAATTCCTGTGAGAGCGCCAATTTCTCTTTCACCCTTTGGGAGAAAATTGCTTTTTGGGATGTCAGATTAGGCAATGTTTTGAACTCTCAGCGGTTTGCGAAACAGCAATTAAGTACTAATGTTCATCTGTGTTGTAGACAGACTTGAATTGTTGAGATTTGCCATGAATGCTGAAATGGAGGGATTTGAAAATGCAAAGGCGGGGCATCAAAATTGGGTTGGGGGAACTTTTTCCACTCATTTTTTTTTGAGGAGGTGGTGAGTTTTTGGGGAGGGAGCAGGAACAACAACAGAAAAAGATATATTCTGATTTCGCTAGATCTTTTGTGTCTTTACGAGGAAAGATTGAGTAGAAGCTGGCTCTCCTCTCCCTCCCTTCCTCTCTCTCCCTCTGCCCACTTCCCTTTGTGCTCATTCTCTGGAGAAGATTCACCCTATCTGAAATGAGCTTAAAATAGTCAAATGTGACCAAACAGATTTAGACAGCACCTTAAAAATGAATCCGCAGCCAATGCGTTTAACTCTGAAAAGGCCTGGCTTGTCATAAATTGTGCACAGATGAAAATAGGGCACATAACACACTCTCTACTGCGTGGTCCTTGGACTTGTGGCTAAATGTCTCACGTTATCACTGACACTTAGAAGCAATTATTAAAATTGTTTGTCAAGAAGTGTATGGCTGCTGAATATACAGTGACAAAAATAAGGCACTAGTTTAACATCTACAGCTTTATAGCACTGTAACTAAAGTGCTGTTATGGCCTTATTCTAAGTGTCAGTGGCCTGGGCTGAATATTGTGTCTGTCGTCCTGGAAGCTAATTGTTAATTCCACATTCAGACATGGCCTTAGGCTTTTGCTTTATCATAGGCTTCATTTTTTTGCCTCTTTAGGAAAGAGTTTTCTCTCCCTTGATAGTATTCAAGTTGGTCAGAAAGCAAGACAGGAAGTGGAAATCAGCAGGAAATGGGAAGTTGATGTGAAGTAAGTGGAAAGCTAGTCTCCCTCCCTCTTTGTACTGGAATCCAGCTTTATTTAATGAAACTGAGTGGTAGATTTAGGAAAGATGAAAGGAAGCACTTGTTTACAAAACATGTAGGCAAATAATGAAGCTTGCTCACACAAAATGACACAATGTTCTCCAACTGGGTCGGCTTTAAAAAGAGAATTAGACAGATTCAATAAAAATAATGCTATCAGAGATTGCTAGCAACCATATCTATATTAATTACCTCCCCTAACAGAGGCAGGATGCCTTTGGATACCGGCTGCTGGGAAGCACTAGCAGGAGAGTCTTATTCTGCCTATAAGAAGAGCAATGGTTAAGATGCAATATGGTAGCCAAAACTCTGCTCATGGTCAACATTCGATACCAACGAATCTGATATTTGGCTCAAGGTTGGCTCAGCCTTCGTTCCTTCTGAGGTTGGTAAAATGAATATCCACCTCAGCCTGTGCGATCAAAAAATTGTTAACCATCCAGAGAGGGTTTTAATCTCTATGGGGTGGTATATAAGCAGCACACTTTGCTATAACAGCATATGTGAGCTTCCTAGAAGTTCAGGTTGGCTACTGAAAGCTCAGAATGCTGAGGGCTTTGGTCTGAATGAATGAACACAACACCTTTTCCTCCCCCTTCATAAAAATCTGTTTCAGGAAGCAGAGACTCAGAAGAGTGAGTGGAGAAAGGGCTAAGAACCACTTTATCCCACTATTTCCCATGGATATTTCCTTTATAAAAGAAAGAAGAGACCTGCTGAGATTTGCATATCTGTATTTGAGTGTAGAGCTGGATAGAGTTCAGAGCAGCTCCTGCATTGTTATCTGTTCCTGTAAGGAAGAATCAACCCAACATGAGGCCATTCCATTACAAAGGGTTCCAGAATCGCCTCTTGAGTTCTTTCAAAATCGTTATGCAATTCCTCTTCAATCATAAACTTATCGGAAGGCTGTAGATCATAATGTAGCCATTGCTCCCACAGAGGTATAGCTTGGGAGCTCAAAAAGGATAATCAGAAATCCCATGGATCTGTGCTTGGCTGGTACCATTTCATATTGCAGGAAGGCTGGGGGATTCAAAGCTTTGAAAGTTACTAATACAAAATGGGAATGTCAGGGGGAAGGACGTCAGCTCGACAGAGCAACTGCCCTCCTCATCCTTTGTATGTGCAGAGAAAATTTTATGTGTGGGAGAACATGATGAAACCTCAGAGGTTCAACTCCTCCACCCCCAGAGTCTAAAATGGTACAGCCCATTAAAGCAGACGCATCATGTGGGGCTCATCTATTTTAGCTCCAAAATGATCACCACAGTGCATCCTGCCAAATGGCAGCTTATCTTTTAAACCTTGGTGGAAATTAGCAGGACATGTTGTATTTTTATGGGTTTGGGATGAGACTGTCAGCCTGCGAAGCATTTTGTTTTTTGTTTTTGTTTTTGTTTTTGCAGCTGGCAAGGCACTGGATTTAAAAGGGCAAGTCAAGTCAAAGAGTTAGTCGCTCAGCATTTATTTTTGAGTCCTCCTTTTGGAAGGGTCCCCAAAGCCCATTGGGTCATCTGCAGATGTTACATAATGGTGCTGACTTGCAAGATTAATCCCAGTTGTGTTTGGATTTGAGAAATGTTGCTGTTTTGGAAGGACTTGAGAATCACGACTAGTCTGGCCTAGTCATGGCAAGTTAGAAAGCTGACAGCTATGAAAGCAAATATACATATTTGAACTTCTGACTTTCCATTGGCACAGCTCGTACTGTTGTTGGATAGCTCCCAAGAATTCCACACAAGTGGAGTGAACTTTAGTTGCTAAGTCAGCAGCAAGCTGCAAATGGCTTCTATCTCCCCCGACCCCAGTTCCCATGGGACCTGAATGTTGTCTGTATTAAGTTGCAATGATCACCATGTCAGATTTTACAGCTATGAGAGATGTCCTCTGCATGTAAAAGAGAGAAGATAGAAATATGCTCTTCTAATAAATGCAAGCAGGCTGACAAGAAAAGGGGCCAAACTATCTAAAATAAATTGGTACAGCCGGGAAACCACAGGGTTGTACTGAACTCTGTCTCGTATTTCTGTTAGTAGCTCCAGTTCGTGATACTGATGAAATACCATCTCTTAACTTTATGGCCTGTTGTGCCGTCAGCAAAGTTCATCAGTTTGGACTTTGGGGGTCCTAAGATTTAGAGCTAGGAGGGTTTGAGTACTTAGCTTGCTGAGATGTAGGAATGTGTAGCCTGCATAATTTCATTGTAAGCCCCTCAAAGAGTGCTTTAAGAACTATGGGGCAATATATAAGTAGTACACATTGCTTTGCTTTTTACTCCCTCCCCATCCGGATAACCCCTGCAATTCCCACTGTCAGTGCAGACTTAGGAGATTTGGGGAGTGGAAAGTCAAAACAAGGAGATTCTCAAATCTCAAGTTTTGGGTAGATGAAACACTAAATGAAGAGGGAGAACGTGGCTTTGTAGGTTCTCAGTTATGATAAAAGTGAAGAGGCTGTGACCCGCATAAACAATGCAAATTTTATGTCTGTTTTCCCTTATTTTTCATAATTTGCACTACCTGGTTCCCTCCCTATGCCCAATTATTTTTCTGTAATTTATTCAGGTTTGGCTGAAGAGGGGAGGGGAACAGAATTGCAGCTGTCAACCAGTAGAAAAATGCCACCCATTTCATTGGCTTTCAGGATTTAGACGGGCATAGCATGCATGCCATCAGCTGTTTTTTACCCACCTTGGATTTGATACCAGTAGTATGTCTGGCTAGGGAGAAATGCTTCTGGGCTATAGGGTGGAAGGAAGGGGGAAGGGATGAGTTTAGCTCCTAACTTTCTCAGGGCCCATTAGATATTTACAAGTCGTTCTCTCTGTGGCTCCATTTGATTATTGCCCATGCCACAAAATATTTTTAATCTATCTGTCTCCATAAAAAGACCCAAGGTAGCTTTCTAATTGCCTTTTCTGCACCTCATTGTCTTCTTTAGGACCGCCCATTCCTCAATAAAATACAGCCTCTGAGAAAATTTTCAGATTTTGGCCCCCAATCCAGAAAAAAAGGACCCTCAAACCTTTGAACGTTTATTAGACCACAGCTGGCAAGTCAAGAAGCAGAGCTGAGATTAACCCTCAGTCAGACATTGCCTCCCCTAATCCCTGCCCAATTGGAAAGCTGTGATGCTGGCTTCTGAATGATGAGGATTGGACAAGCTTCAGAAGAGACCAAGGTTTAATCTTGTTGACAGTCTTGAACCAGGTGCTTGAAAGGTATCAGGCAGAGATTCAAACTATGTGTTGTAGCCATCTTGCAGACAAGTTGAGTCCATCTAGATGGCAGTAATCCAGAAGAGTGCAGGCCTCTGTTGTCTGGCTGAGTACCGGCAACCAGTTTATGAACTGATAAGGGTTTCTATCCTAGGCACGGTTTACTTCTCTTTATTGATGAAAATGTAAGTAGCTGGTTGCTTTCTTCCCACAATGTGAAGGTTTAACATCAGAGCCTTTAATTAAGTAGTATATTCCCAGTGTTTGTTATTGTTGTTGTTTAGTTGTTAAGTCGTGTCCGGTCCGACTCTTTGTGACCCCATGGACCAGAGCATGCCAGGCCCTCCTGTCTTCCACTGCCTCCCGGAGTTGGGTCAAATTCATGTTGGTGGCTTCGATGACACTGTTCAACCATTTCATCCTCTGTCATCCCCTTGTCCTCTTGCCCTCACACTTTCCCAACATCAGGGTCTTTTTCAGGGAGTCTTCCAGGGAATCCCAGTGTTTACTTCTGAATAAATTAGTTGTGTGTAGTCACCTTTCATGGAGAGTTAGATGCTCTCCGATATTTCCAGGGATTGCTGAGGATTTTACCTAAATGGTCACAAGATTGCAATGTTAATTAGGTAGTAAACACACATAGATTATTGCACTCCTCCCTCCCTCCCTCCCTCCCTTCCTTCTTAGGAGGATTGTTTGGGGGAAAGTCATGCAAGCCCTCCTGAGTTTACTGGACAATACAAATGACTAATACAAATAACACTAAACCACAATTAATGGCTTATTCTTGTCTTGTAACTGCCACTGTACATTCTTCCTCAATGCAGTCCCTCTGACTTTAGGTTGTGAGACCTTTCCACTAGGCCAGACAGCTTTAAATGGGGATGTACTTGTCTTGCAGGTGATACATCATAGCACGGTTCATATCTTGTACTGTGTACATGCCCAAGAGTTCTCTGCAATTTCAGTCTGCCGCTTCTTTTCATGCAAGCGTATTAATGCATATTTTTATCTCTGTGGCTCTGCTTTCAGTAGAAATTTGCACATTCCTTTTTAAGAAGCAGGGTAGATGCTCAAGTGAGATCTGTGTAAGGTTTTGTTTGTTTTGGAACCGCAAACTGATTTTGAAACCTCTCTATGTGTGTGTGCTTATTAGCACACAGCAGCATCTGGCTTAGAAGAAGAGCTGTCAGATGCACAAACCAGGCATGCTTTGGGAACATGATTTGTTTTGCAGACACATCTGTCCTCATGTAAGGTCAGAAGAAACTGCTAGCCAGGGGGGGTTTGCAGGGGAGGAAGTGGTTCCACAGAGCAATGCTGTTGGAGCTGGGAATAGTTTACTGTTTTGAATTACAGCTCCTTGAATCAGATAGCAGAGTCAGTGGCCATGCTGGGTTGAAATAATGCTTTCACACTCTGAATTCTATTCAGGTCAACTCAGAAGTAAGGCTCATTCAATTCAAAGAGACTTACTCCTGGTATATTGGATTGTGGCCATCTGTAGTCTATTTCTGCTCTCATATTTCCTTCTTCCGGTCCTTCTGCTACCCTTCTATAGAGCTTGCCCTTCATGTTCTCTACTTTTCTGTTTCATTGGCACGGATCTGAAAACCAACATATTAAAGCCTTAATTTGTATTTAGATTGCCTGTGTGACAGAAGCCATTTAAGTTGGATAGGAATGCTAATATAGCTGCCAAGGGGGAAACCGTGCCCATCTCTTGTAGCAGAAAACAGACAAGAGTCTTATGGCACCATAAAGATGGCTTTGGATGCTGGGTTCCAGTTTGTGAAAGCGTATGCTGCCATGAACCTCATTGCTACTCTGGCAAGCAAAGCATTCTGGAGCACGTTGGGCTCGCTTGTCACAACCAGGGTGAAGAGTGCATGTTTACACATGACCCATGAGGGTAGGGTGCATTGTGTGCGCACTGAGATGCTTTCAGAAATCCTCTCTGATGAAGCTCCTTCAAAAGTCCGGAACCTTGTTGAATTCAAGAAGGCAGTGTAAGAAGCTTGAAGAAGCTTGCAGAAAAGACATGCAGCTGAGGAAAAGCGACTGGCTTGAGACCACAAAATGAGTTTGGTTTGAGGCACAAGGATTTTTGGAATTACAGGCCAGCTCTCTTAATTGTTGTGCCACAGTATCTTGTCTGCCCCGATCTGTCTTGTTCTGTCCGGAACCTTGTTGAATTCAAGAAGGCAGTGTAAGAAGCTTGAAGAAGCTTGCAGAAAAGACATGCAGCTGAGGAAAAGCGACTGGCTTGAGACCACAAAATGAGTTTGGTTTGAGGCACAAGGATTTTTGGAATTACAGGCCAGCTCTCTTAATTGTTGTGCCACAGTATCTTGTCTGCCCCGATCTGTCTTGTTCTGTCCTTTTCTTTCCATATTGCTTATTTGCTGATGCACCCACCGACCCCCCCCCACAGAAAGACAGAGAATTAACTGAGGTTGAGCCAAAAGTTCTAAGAGCTTTTTGGAAAGAATACTAGAATAATGGAGATGGAAGGAGCCTATGAGGCCATCCAGTCTGGCTCCCAGCTCAATGCAGAAATCCAACTCAAAGTATATCTGGCGTATTTGTTGTTAACTTTTTCTAGAAGACCTCTAGTGCTGGACCACTTGCCACCTCCAAAGTAATTGGTTCTATTGTGATACAGTTTTTTTCCTGATAATCAGGAATTTTTTTTCTGATATTCATCCAAAATCTGACTTCCTTGAGCCCACTATTAAGTGTCCTGCACTCTGGCATGACTGAGAACATATCCTGCCTCTCCTCCATAGGACTAGGTAAAGGTAAAGGTTCCCCTTGACAATTTTTGTCCAGTCGTGTTCGACTCTAGGGGGCAGTGCTCATCCTCGTTTCCAAGCCATAGAGCCAGCGTTTTGTCCGAAGACAATCTTCCGTGGTCACATGGCCAGTGCGACTTAGACACGGAACGCTGTTACCTTCCCACCGAGGTGGTCCCTATTGATCTACTTGCATTTGCATGCTTTCGAACCGCTAGGTTGGTGGGAGCTGGGACAAACGACGGGAGCTCACTCCGTCGCGTGGATTCGATCTTACGACTGCTTGGACTTCTGACCCTGCAGTACAGGCTTCTGCAGTTTAGCCCGCAGCACCACCACGTCCCTACCATAGGACTACCTTTCAAGTATTTGAAAAGTACTATCGTATCACACCTCAGTCTTCTTTTCTTAAGGCTAAACATTGCCAGTTCTTCCAGTCTTTCCTAATAAGGCTTGGTTTCCAGTCCCCTGATCATCCTAATTGCCCTCCGCTGAACCCATTCCAGTTTTCTGGCATCAAGAGTGGTTTCCAGAACTTTCTAGTACTCAATATGACACCTGACTCGTGCTCAGTAGAAGGACTTCATGAGATTTGGAGACTATTTTTTATTAATGTTCCCTAAAATAGCATTTGCCCTTTTTTTGCAGGTTCCAGTTTGCTGGCATCAAGAGTGGTTTCCAGAACTGGACCTAGTAATCAATTTGACACCTGACTCATGCTCAGTAGAAGAACTTCATGAGATTTGGAGACTATTTTTATTAATGTTGCCTAAAATAGCATTTGCCCTTTTTTTTTGCAGCCCATTACACTATTGGCTCATATTCAGCTTGCCATCTAGAACAGTTTGAAGATCCATCCCACTTATAGTATTACTGAGCCAAGCATCCCCTATCTTGTAACTGTGCAAATTTGCTAAGCATCCCTTCATCTAGGTCATTAATAAAATTGTTGAAGAGCACGTTGTGGTACCGCTCCTGTTATCTCCTCCCAGTTTGAGAAGGAGCCATTGGTAAAAGCTCTTTTGACTACAATTCTATAACCAGCTTGGGTATCAACCTGACAGCTGTTCTATCCAGCTCACAGCTGGTTAACTTGCTAATCAGAAATATCATGGTGGACTTTGTCAAAAGCTTTGCTGAAGTTGGGATATATCACATTCACAGCATTCCCACCATCTACCAGGGAGGTTACCTGATTAAAACATTATACTATTAGCTCATATTCAGCTTGTCATCTAGAACAGTTTGAAGATCCATCCTACTTATAGTATTACTCAGCCAAGTATCCCCTATCTTGTAACTGTGCAAATTTGCTAAGCATCCCTTCATCTAGGTCATTAATAAAATTGTTGAAGAGCACGTTGTGGTACCGCTCCTGTTATCTCCTCCCAGTTTGAGAAGGAGCCATTGGTAAAAGCTCTTTTGACTACAATTCTATAACCAGCTTGGGTATCAACCTGACAGCTGTTCTATCCAGCTCACAGCTGGTTAACTTGCTAATCAGAAATATCATGGTGGACTTTGTCAAAAGCTTTGCTGAAGTTGGGATATATCACATTCACAGCATTCCCACCATCTACCAGGGAGGTTACCTGATTAAAACATGAGATTAGATTAGTCTGGCAGGATTTGTTTTTGACAAATCTATGTTGGCATCTAGTTATTACTGCATTGTTTTAAAGGTGCTTGCAGAGTGACTGTTTTATTATCTGCTCCAGGATTTTCCCTGGGATTGATGTCAGGCTGACTAGTCTGTCATTCCCAGTTTCCTCCTTTTTTTGCCCTTTTTGAAGATAGAGACACCATTAGCCTTCCTTTGATCATCTGGCAATTCACCTCCACGATTTCAAGAAAATAATACAGTTGTTTTGAGAGCATTTCAGCCAGTTCCTTCGATACTCTTGGAGGTAGTTCATTGGATCCTGGAGACTTGTTCAAAGAAATAAGGTATTCCTTGATTATCTGTTTACCAGTCTCAAGCTGTAACCCTGTCCATTTATACTTCATATTTGCCCGGAGGGTCATAGACTGGGTTTTGGGAAAAGACTGAGCTAAAGTAGGAATTGATCACTTCTGCCTTTTCTTTGTCATCTTTATACCATTTTTCCATCTTCATTTAGTAACTGAGCCACTATTTCCTTACTCTATACCTCTGAGCTTGCATCTCCCTCCCCCTTCCAATTTAATTTAAACCCTCCTAATGAATTTCTTCATGCTACACCAAACATGTTCTTCGCGGTCCTTGTGAGCTGCAACTCATCACCTGCCAGTGGTCCATTTTCCAGAAAACATAGCCTGTGGTCCCAAAATCCAAATCCTTCATGTTGGCACCATCTTTGAAGCCAGTTGTCCACCCAGAATATATTTCATTCCCTTTCTATTCCTCTTCTGAGTACTGATAGGATGCACAAGAAGATGATTTGGTGCCCAAAGACCTTGTGTTTCCATCCCAGAGCTTCAAAGTCTGATGTGATTTCTTCATAGCTCTTCTTGGCCATGTCATTTGTTCCCACATGGATGGGAAGAAGGGGACATACTTCTGTGGGTCTTTATGAGTGATGACAGTCCTTCCATCACATCCCTAATGTGTCCTTCCAGAAATACAGCATCCCTGGCAGGTCCGTGGATCTTCCCGGCATATTTCAATTTCAGTCTCACGCAGTAGAGGTCTCCTTCTACAACTACTCTTCTTGTCTTCTTTTTTGTAGGGTGGGGAGTTCAGTGACTTTGCTTGCCTGAGCCTCTGCCTCTCTCATGCCCTCCTATGGGATGTCTGGTCTGTCTTCCTCTCCAAGCTATCTTCAAGAATCTGAAAGTGGTTTTGCAGCTCACGTTGGTGTCAAGTGTCTTCTCTGTCTTTAGCTTCTAAATGTGACAATATCCATTTTTTTCCTGCGACTGGGGTCCTAACTTTTGAATGATAGTGACCTCTACTCAGTAAAACAATATTTAAATAATTCCATTATATTCTACAAGGTAACTTTCAGTTATTTATTTACTTTCCTGTTGGTTTTATTCTTGGTGGTGAGAAATCGCCTCTGAGAACCAATCAAACTTTTGCTTTTTGAAATCTAAAGACAGGCAGGGAATGGGGCCACCATACAAAGTGACGGATGTTGAGTTCGTTTGCCTAATTAACTTTTGGCTAAGGATGCCGAACCCGTTAAGAAGCTAGTTAGTATACATCCCAAATAAACACATCTGGTCCTAAGAACAGTGGGGGTTCTGCCTGGATGTGGGTGACAGATGTGATGATGGTTCCCTCTGTCCTCTCCTTTAAATAATTAACAGCGTGCTGGTGGACGAGCCCTCGAAGCCAGCTGCATCGTCTCTGAGCGCTTATCTGTGGCCATGTGCCCCGTGCTCATTAGTCTGCTCCATCTAGTGCACTTTCTCCTCTTTGCAGCTCCGACAATGGTGTTTCATCCAGGCAGGAGG